CAAGTTTTATTTATTGATTCTCAAAGGACAGATGTGCACAGAGACCCACGCACAGAGGAAGCTAATTTCTCCAGTGGTGTAAATCAGCATAGGTCCATTAACTTGAATGCCATTTAGCGGAGATTTACACCGGCTGAGAATCCAGCCTGCTAATTTTGGGAGGAAAATATGGAAGACTACATAGATTTTAATAATTTTTTTGTTCCGTCTTCTGGGCAATTCATTTATTTTCCAATTTAAAAGCACATCAGGTATTTTCTTTTTTTTTTCTTTGTAATTTAAATGTGTTTCCTGACAGTGCTGCTCGCTCTGAAGGTCTTTTTGGGAGCCTGGAATTGGAAACGTGCCATGTGCCAGCGGGTTGGCATTTGTGAGGCCACAGAGGGACCTGGGCCCCTGGGTCTGAGGATGCTTCTGGGGCTTGGTGTTGCCACATGAATCCTAAAATTCCAGTGGGAATTTGCATGTCTGGGGGCTCTCCCCATGGAGCCTCCATGCAAGACTCCTTGGAGACCAGGTTGTGTTGGAGGATGAATGTCTTGTTGTGCCTCATCTGCACTTAATTGCAGCTCTTGGACAAGGTCAAATCCGCAACCCAGGCGCAGGCAGCATCAACATGGGTGAGAGCTTCCACGGGAAAATTCGGACAGTGGGAAAACGTCGGCAAGTGGATGTGAGTGAGGAGGTGGCTGCTGCAGCAGGAGCAGCGGAGACGTGGAGGCAAAGTAAGCAGGAATGAACAGTGGGACCAATTAGGGAAACCAGGAATTATGAAAATCTGACACCTGTGAGTAAATTAACCCAAAGGAAATACAAAGTTACGTTGAAATTCTGCTAGACAGGAGCGACACACAGACAAGCCATCCCTGCGAGCAGATGARTATCTTGTTCCCTTTGTTGTCCAAAACATGATAAAGCCAATTTGGGCACGTGGTCCCTGCAGTCACAGCTGGAGCGGGTGGGCACCGGCGCTGGGACCATCCCTGGTTTTGGAGTTTCTGACTTGTCCACGCTGCTTTATCCCAGGCTAATTCCATCGTGCAAAGTTGCAGCTGGAGGTGGCCCAAAGGGAGCGGCTTTGAGTGCTTGGGAGAGCCCTGAGATACAAATGCAGAGACTGCAGAGCTGCTCAGCACTCAGACTTCTATGACTATATTATCTATATGTGAGTCTGGATCTGGTTCCGGGAAGTTATTTTATTCCATTGAGATGGGAAGAGTCTTAGGAACTTGGCTGGGGTTCACTCTAATCTGTTCCCACCACTGAAATGAAAAAAATGGGCTGTGATTTGTAGAGATTCCAGCGGARCTGGAAAACTGTTGATGCCTCCCCTGCATTTCTGTCTGTTGATGGAGGTTATAAGGTGCTTTAGAGGAAATTGGGGAAAATTGGGGAAACCTTTGAGCTGTGGTCACACAACATGTTTGCTGCCAAATCCCAGGGTATTTCCACTCCGTGTGGTCCCTCTGGCTGGTCTGGCCCCCCTGGGGGACACCAGCGGGATSAGAGTCCCATCCTGCTCATAGAGCCCCATGGGAAGAGGAAGGAGATCCATCTCCTTCTGCTCCATCTTGTCAAGATCATGAAAAGGCAGGCGGCTCCRCTTGCCTTCCCCGCTCTGCCAAAGCGTCACAAATTAATCTATTTAGCCGCTTCTCTGCTAAAATTTTTGCCCAGCTTTAGCCTGGGGCCTGTCATCACCTGCTGCTTTTTCCAGGAGGCGCGTGGTTCTCCGGAGGAATGCTGAGTGGGTCTGATTTGGGGCTCCCACGGTTTGCACAGGGGTGTGATTCGGTCCTTCAACATGTCACTTCATAAATAACAAGCAGTGATAAACACTGGCGCTTCCTCTCCCCTTCGTTCCTCTGTGGGAGTAGATGATACCGCTGAGTGACTGATTTGACCCTTGAAAACGCGARAATCATGTTTAATTCATGCCTCTTATTTATAGATGTGGGCTCCTCCGGTTTGTGTCCCAGTGCTGGGCTGCCGCTGCCGAGCGGCGGGAGCAAGAGCGGCCGTGCTTCCCGCCGGGAACAGCCCTGGAGAGCTCACAGTGATGGCTCCAGGTGCTGTGTCATCTCCCTCTGTGTTCCTGGCATGACCGGGCTGCCCCAGGGCTCCATCCTCCTCCTGGAGCTGTTGAGGTAGGAACCAGAGTCTCTGCTTGAAAATCAAGGGTTTTCCGGTGATATCAGTGCCACACGCGTCTCTCCAAGAGGCCATTCTCTCCATACGTCCATTGCTTGGGAGAAAGTGCTGCSTCCATGGACACTCCAGAGAGAAAACACGGTCGGGAGTGAAGCTGGCGGCCACTAACCAAATTCACATGGATGTCACCCAAAAGCCACGTGTTGAGGACAATAATGACGAGTGGTGCTGGATGGAAGCAGCACAGGTAGAGCTGGCTCCAAGACGAGCACTTCTAACGGGTAAACGCGATCCTGGAATACGGAACCGGAGCACTTGAGCAGAAGGAGAGTAATCCCTCCTCCCGGCACTGTGCTAGTTAAACCACTGTAATGTAGGCAGCTTTGGGCAAAGCATCGCGGARAGGAAACGGAGAAGCAGCAAGGAGATGGGATTGCAGCCTGGAGGAAGATAAAGGATTTAGAGAGAGGAAGGCTGTGAAGAAAGCGATTAGAGGAAATTAAACATGGAGAGGCTGGAGACAGAGGYTGGGAGGGGAGGATGGTCTGGCATTAGGCAGCACGAGATGCTGACRTGCAGTTGAAGGGCGGATGGGCAGTTTTGGCACTGGGACCAGTTGTGGACTGAAACCAAGCAGTGCAAAACCAAACGGTTTGGAAGGGATGGGAGAAAAATGTTAATTATTGCCTAATGAAACCCTAATGCATCTGGTTCACCGGGCGACACTGGTGAGYGTCTCACCTCTGTCAGTCCCATTTACGAAGAACCCAAATGAGCTTTTGATAGAGCCCTTCTACCTCTTCTCCTTCTCCGCACCCCCCATTCTGGTGATTAGGTGTCCAGCATGGCAGAACTTGCCTCTTCCCTTAGCCTCATTGGTCACTTCTGCAGCTTCTTGCGCTGGGAAATGCCATGGGAGATGCTGTCTCTGGGATTTTGGTGCGTTAACTTGAATCTTGCCTTGCCCTAGGGTCTGTGAAGATGCTACGTTGCCAGAACTGATCCTCTCAATGCAAGTGATGTCGAAGGGAAGGTTCATGTTTGGTGGCAGATGTGAGTGTTCTTGCACACCCCAGGGATACAGTCAAGAGTATTTGGGTTGCCTTGATAAGGGCAATGAAGARAGATAAGATCCCGTGTGCTCTCCAGCTCGCTGCTCTCCATTCCTGGGAGGTGCACAAGAGCATGTCCCTAGCACCGGCTTCCTACAACTTGTCACCTACTTGTGGGTGCTTCCGTAGAGCCGTTTTGCACCCAGTGCTGTAGTGTTGATCCAAGCCTGCCCCATCGTGTCTCAAGAAGGACCAAGAATGACCAGGAGAGTCACAGGCTACAGGCTTCATCTGAAGAGGCTGGAAGGGGAACGCACTGGATCTTGTTTTGACTCTTGGCCCTCCTCCCTCACAGTCCTTTTCTATGTAAAAAAAAAAAAAAAAAAAAAAAAAAAAAAAAAAAAAAAAAAAAAAAAAAAAAAAAAAAAGAATTAAATCTCATCAGTGGCTTTTAGAAGTCAACTGAAAATGTCCTTTATTAAATTACCACCCTATTGATCTCTCAGTCATCCAAAAGGGGATTGATTGAGGACTTAAACAGACGTGCAGGCGGGCCAGACGTTCAATTAATGTGCATAAACGGGCAGTGGAGAAGCAATTTTCAGAGCAAGTCAAGCAAAAGATCAATCCTGTTTTGYCTTCCGTGACAACGTTCATTCTGTATTTATTTTTGTTTTATTTTACCCTATTTTTTCCTTCCCCTTATGATGTGTGTTGATGAGAGGCAGCACTCTAAGCACAAGTCACCCGATGCACGGGAGGCACCGGCCAAGGACCTGTTGTGGTTTTGAGCATTCATGTTGAGGAGCCTTGAGTTGCATTCCCAAGCTTGGGCAAGATTTGGGAGAAAAAGCTGCTCTTTGCTGATTGTTTCCAGCTTTTCCATCCTCCAACAGCTCCAGGTGGCTGCCAGGGGCAGAAGACTGTGATGGAGCTTCAAGCACTCAGCATCCCAGAGAATGCATCCATCCGGGAATGGGACAGGAATTGATGGTGAGTTGTTGGATGGGTGAAACCTCTGAGGAGCAATAGACTATMTTCAGTTAGGACGTGCTGGGGCTTTTGAAACACCTCGGTGGGAACTGCTGCCGCAGCAGAGAGAGCCCTCAGCTCCTCTTCTCCTTTATCTTTTCTCTCTCTCTCTCTCTTTTTTTTTTTCTTTAATTCCCTGGGTTTTTGTTTCTTCCCTTCTCAGGAATGGCTGTGCAGGAACAGATCTGTGCCCCAGCAGCTGGCAGAAGGGAGCTGATGGTCTCTTTTCAACCAAGAACTGGCCAGCAAGTAGAAGAGGAAATATTTATTATCATCACTATTACAATTATTTTTAATAGTGCCTTTTCTTTTCTTTTCTTTTCTTTTCTTTTCTTTTCTTTTCTTTTCTTTTCTTTTCTTTTCTTTTCTTTTCTTTTCTTTTCTTTTCTTTTCTTTTCTTTNTCTTTTCTTTTCTTTTCTTTTCTTTTCTTTTCTTTTCTTTTCTTTTCTTTTCTTTTCTTTTCTTTTCTTTTCTTTTCTTTTCTTTTCTTTTCTTTGCAGAGAGGGGTAGTATTTTATTTTAGGGAGCTACTTTGCCCCAGGTCGTGCAGCCTGCAGTTCAGTGTGGCAGAGCAACCCTCCGTCTTCCTCTCTGTCTGCATCTTCTCCGGGTAATAGCGGGACAAGTGGAGCATGTCATCAGCAAGCTGTTAATGCCGGAGCCTCCGGATGGGCACCACGGTCCTGGGCACCACGGCCAAACCTCCTCATCCCCCTTTTCCTGCAGGTCTCGGGTGCTGGGATCATCTCAGCTGCTCCTGGGATGGGAAGCAGCTTCCTCTGGCCAAGCTCGCCGCCACCTCRCAGCCCTTATAGGACTGTAAGCTTTGGGGGTAGGGGCAAAAGGAGTGATTTGTCTGGGTAGCTGGGATTTTATTTGCATTTTAAATCACACTTTTCTCCTAAACTAATGGACCCCCTATTTATAGATGACTCCAACATAAAGTGACTGCTAATTACTACAATTAATATAGCGTTAAAGGCTTGCCAGCCAACTCCACTGCAACTTGTATCGCCTACTCATTTTCAATTAAGGCACATTGACAAGTAAAATACGCAGTTATTAAGAGCAGAGCCCTGTTGTGTAATTACATTTTTCTAAGGTCATTAATCTCCTGCAGTATAAAGTTTTGCACCCCAAGGCCAGAGCAAGGGGCAGTTTTGGGGGACAGCCACCCCAGTAGAGGGACCGTGGTGGCCTCTGGAGAAGGTGAAGGAGGTGGGACATTCCCCGTGGGGCTGGGCTTCCCRTGCCAGTGAGGAGCAGGAAACGCTCCTGCGTGCCCAGGCTGGCATGAGGATGGAGGAGAGGACACTTGTTGGCTGGACGGTGCCAAAGAAGCCACCAGCGCGGTGGGGCGAGGGAGGCATCAGCTGCTCCAAAGGGCAAAAAGGGGAAAAAGGAAAGAGAAGGCTGCATCAAAAGAGGCTTCCCAGCAAGCGAGCAGCCAGAGCAGGGAAGGAGCATCAGCCCCCGGTGCCTCCAGCAGCAGCTGGGGAAATCAAGCGCAAAATACTGCGGCATTAGGGCGCGCGCGGCGACAAGGTGTAGCGCCRTGATCGTAATACAGACGGACACGGGCCTTTAACGCCGTCCGGCTGAGGCTTTGATCGACTGTCTGAGCCTCGGTGCTGGCAACGCGGCCGGACCCCTCTGCTTGCCGGGGCCCGTGTGATCCCGGGAGACGGGGTGAGATGCGGAGAAGGTCCGTGCTGCTGGCCACGATGCCRGGTACAGGGACAAACTGTGCGCCACCGTGCTCCCATTTCATCCTCTGCTTTTGCRGAAACTCCTGGGATTCGGGTAGGTTGTGGTCCAGCTGAGTTCTGGTTTTGGGAAGCGCGTGCTTATCAGGAGATGCCAGGTTTTTCCCAGCAGGAAAATGCCACCTCTCAGCCTTGTCCCTTGCAGCTGCTGCCTGGTTTGGGTGCGGGAACTGTTTCCTCAGAGCTGAAGTTATTTCTCTGAGCTCCGTTTCTTCTCTTTCATTCACAGGTTGGGATTTGCCTCTGGACACTCAGTGGTTCTGCATCTCCTTAGACTCCCTGGGTGCTTTCTCATCCAGAACTATTTGCCATGGTTGCTGCTCACCCGTGTCTGGACGGGTATTACAGCACTCCGCTGATTCCTGTAACTCCAGGATTTAAGCACCCAGCATGGCCCTTAGCACCGAAGAGCAGCAAATCTCCGGGTCCTTGTGTACCGCCGGCTTTATTGACAGCCGGAGGAGCAGCCAGCGCCACGTGCAAGGAATGAAGATGTCCGAGGAAGCCGGTGCRGAAGGATGGTCATCGGCACGTAGGGTTTGCACGATCTTTGGGATATCGTTGGGCTCCCAGTGCAGGATCCGGACCTCGTCCACCCTTTGCTCCCGGGTGGGTTTGTGGCTGTCTGGGATCTGGTCCTTGCAAGCAGCGGGTGCAGTGGGATGTCCCCAGCCATCGCTCCAGGCTCGTGGTTGTGTTTCCAGCTCTGCCTGCTGATCACAGCCAGGTGCAGGAAAGGGCGGGAGCGGTAGCAGGGACGAGGAGGGATGCTCCKGCATCTTCCCTGCAAATCCCGCTGTATCGCAGAGGAGTCCCAAGGGAATTAGGCACTTGGCTCTTGCTGTAGTTTRGCACTTCCAGCCTCTTCCCATCCCTGGTTCTCAGTGTGGTCCCCGTGCTTGCAGGGCTGGAGCATCCACGCCRCCGCGCGCTCCGCTCGTCCGAATGCCGCCTCAAGCTTGCTATAAATTATGGATGAGCCAAGACRAGGATGAAGATGGGCCTGGCATTAATCACACCCAGACAGGCTCCTATCTTGTTGATTCGCCTGGTACTTTTCCTTCTGCACTAATCCCCCCACACTGCTTGACTTCTGCCCATATACATAAATGCTCTCACGCTTCCATAGATGAAAAACAGATGCTGGAAAAGGGAGGAACTGGCAGCCAGGGGGGACACAGCCAAACGCCYGAAACACCCTCAGGAATGTCCTGTTCCCACCGAGCCCTTGGCCTTGGGCATCCTCTGCGGGCCGGGGTTCCGGCTGCTGTAGCCAGGGTAAGGTTTACTGGGATTTCTGCTGCTTTGGAGGAGGTTTCTAGGAAGAGCTGCCTTCTGCCCGCTAAATCACCAGCATCTCTCGCTCCTGCTCTCCCCAGAGCTCAGAGGCCCGACTTGAGTGACACAAAAGCTTTCTGGCTCCAGCGACGCACGGAGACAAACGAGCAATTTGCTGGGAAATCATCCTTTGGGATTCCTCCTCTCTCCAGGCAGCTTAATTGGGTGTGCTCAGGGTGGCTTTAATTGCTCTTTTCGACGTGCAGCTTCACCCCCTCCTCTGCTTTTTCTCTCCAATCTCTCCCTGCTTCTCTCTCCTCCTCCTCTTCCTTCCCAGCACCATTTATCTTCCTCCTCCTACAACATCTCCCTTTCTTGGTGTTTTTTCTTCTCAATATCTCTGGGAAATGGTGACAGGCTAAAAGCTGAGAGGCTCTTTCAGGTCCTCATGCAGTCACAGCCAACGGGTCCTCCAAGACTTTGGAGCTTCCCAGAGGCCGATGAATCTGCTGGATTCACCCGCAGGATGCGCAACGGTGTCAGTGGTGAAGAAACCAAACTCACATAATTTGTGTTGGATTTGGGTCATTCTCATCCCAGATTTAGCTTCACCTGCAGCCCTCCAACTGCCACCTACAYGTCCTCGTGCTCCCTTGGGTGATGCTGGAGCTCCCTGTGCTGTGCATTGAGGCCAAGCTCCAGGTTGGAGGCTTCGCTCCTCGCTTCGGATCAACATCTGGATCGGAGGTAGCCTCTGGACATGTGAGGGAACAAGCAAATCCACCCGTGGGCCGGTGCCAAGGGACCTGGGGACAGCTCGTGCACCCCAGGGACGCAGCCAGAGCACCCGTGCGACAAGTGGCCGGGACTTGAAATTGCTGCTGAAGTCCAAAGTTCTGTCCAATAAATATATACACTAGTTAAAACCGAATTGATTAGCTATGGATACCCTCTTAGCACGCTTTAAACTCCAGCATCTGTTTGCAATCAATAATTGAGCCAGGAGGCATTAAAGGGGAGGCCAGGAGAGGCAGAGGAGGCTGCGCGGAGCCTCCCTGCTCCCGGAGCGTCCGCAGCCGGGAGCCCYGGCCCTGGCTCCGCGGCAGCGTGAGCTCTCACCAAATGATAATTACTGGGTTTTTCCCTTATTTTCTCTTCAATCAGCGCTGCCAGCTGCTGTCCTGATGCCTGAGGGGCTGCTCCCGGCAGCGTCGGGAGCCATCCCGCGCCACGGAGGAGCCAGCTGGAGTCAGACCAAGGCGGGAAGGGGGCGAGGAGCTGTGGGGGGGAGGTTGTCCTGTTGCTCTGGGTGGGGAGCAAGGGCCGGCCCAGCTGGGTGCCCCCCTGCATCCCGCCCAGTTACATCCCGTTCCCTGCTGGGCAGAGCTTCCCTTCTCCCTTTGCAGGTGTCAACGGGAAGAGGCTGCTCCCTAACCCAGCACCCGGGCAAGCATCATTCCAGGTGCTCCATCCTCCGTCCCAACGGCTCCGCAAGCTCCCGAGGCCACGGCAAGGTGCCCCTGCCATCCATCACCCGCTCCGGCCCGCATCCGCRGAGGAATTAAACTCATTTGTCACCGCGGCTGCGGCTGCTGCCGTTCCTGCTCGTGGGCACGGACGTGTCCTCCCCCTGCCCGCCTCAGCCGGGACTGTCCCCTGCGGAGCCGCGGGCTCCTTCCCGGGCGCCTCGCTCCCGCGGCGGCTCCGGCACGAGCCGCTCGCTCCTCCGCGCCTGCCGCTCCAGAGCATCCCTGCAATCCCGCTCCCGTGAACTGCCCCCGAGAGCCGTCGCTCAGCCTCCCATAGGAAAAAGGAGGAACGAGCCCCTCGTTGTGCTATTAGCCATGATTTTCCTGGCTGCTAACCTGCTCCTCTGCTGAAATTTTTCACTATCCAGCCCCAGCAGATGAGGGATCTGGGGAGTTTGCTGGCAGGCGTCTCCCTAGTCCAATGGAGATGGAAAATGTGGGTGAAGCCTAATTGCAGGGTTGCCTTAGTACTGGAAATCAGCCTTGGAAAYGCAGCTCCTGCTCCCAAATGGCTTACAGCCCAAGGGAAAGGCAGGCCCGGCAGGTTGGCAGCCCTGAGATCCCATCCCAGCGCGGGATGAGGTGAGGAGGAGGAGGAGGAGGGAGGCAGGCACCGACTGGGGGAGGCTGAGCATGTAGATCACCGGAATTGGCCAGGGACAGGCCATAAACCAAAAATAAAAAGGTATTCTAATTTATGATGTGCAGTAAACGTACCACGGCAAGCCGGGTTATGAAGAAGGATTCATTCTCTTGTTGACTCGGTGTATCTTTAAAGATGATAAATGGCATTATCGCTCCTCTCCTCTCTGTCTGTGAGAGCTGGGAGCCCCTCACGGGTCTGTCCTGGCAGGAAAGGCCTGGGATCTGCGGAGCTGGGAACGCTGTTCCCAGGACAGCCCCTGAGCAGCATCCCTGGCCCCAGCCCTGGAGCAGAGCACAGACGTCCCAAAAGCGCCCCTGGGAACCGAGAGGCTGAATRTCCCCTGAGGTCCCCAATGCAACTCCTCATCTGGGCCTCCATGGTGCCGCCAGACACCAAAAAAGGTTAATTTTAACTTAAACAAGACCGTCTTTCCAGATGTCCTTGTGGCAGCTGAGCCCACCCTGGCCTTGGCTGTGGAGGCTCCATCCATGGTTGCATTTTGCTGCACTCTTTAAAACCCACGTGCAGGGGAAACGGCGGGGTCAGGGAGRGAAGGGGAACATCTCCATGGTGTCCCATCTCTGTGGACAAGGGGCTGCAGCGCACGGAGCTCCTGCTCCGGCCTGCCTTCAGATTCCACTCACATTTCCAAGCGAGTCTGGCCCAGGGAGCTAAGGAGCCCCATGGGTTCTGTTATGAGGTAAATAAAAATTAACAGGTGGAGATATAACTACACCCATGGATGAAAAGCAGGTTCGTGCCTCTGAAATACACTCAATTAGAGCCCTTGATTTGCTGTTTTGTTTTTTTTCCCCCCAGTAAAAGCTTCATAACCGCAGAAAATCTTGAGGACTGWCAACCGATAAAAGCAGCAGGAGCTTCCCCTTCTGCCTCGTGCATTTACRAGTGGTTTGCACTGCTCATGTGAAATAAAAGCGCCGCCACAAATTAAAAATCCACAAATTACTCAAGAGAAAAACAGACCGGGGGACAGAGCTGATGGAGACCCCTGCACCGCACCCCTTCCCAAAGGTTTGGGACAGTTTCTGCTTTCAGGTGTTCGGAGACGGAGCAGCTCATCCCAAATAACCCCCTCCAGGTGCAAATCCGCCCTGCAGGGACCGCTGCTGGYGGGYGCGYGAGGGACCCCGGAACGTCCCATCCRCAGCTCCTTCCCTCGGGAAGGGGCTGCAGGGAGGGCACCTTTTGCTTGCGTGCCCCATTTGCCGCTAATTCCCTAAAGCGGCGCTGGGGCAGCCGGCTGGGCTGCTCCCGGGGCAGCGGAGCGGCGCCCGGGGCGTCGATGCAACAATCGGAGCATCCCTGCGGCGCCGGCGGGAGCGGCCGGACTGCGCCCGGCTGCCGCATCCCGCGCGCCGCAAGGAACAGGCTCTGCTGCCATCTACCTCCGCCAGGCTCCGGCGCCTCCATCCCTCTCCAGAGGCGCCCGCCGCCCCCGCGGGGCTTCCTCCCCGCTCTGCCCCTGTCCCCAATTTGTAATTTTGCGTTATCCCCCCGAAACCTGTGCTCCGCTCGATGTTCTCCAGACCTTAAAGAATATTTAACCGCCTGTTAAATTATTTATCCCCCCGAGGTTCCGCGTGCTGCGGGCAGCTCGCCGGCCTCCTGGAGAATTAAGTAGGGCCATAAATCAAAGAGACGGGTGAGAAATTTCCTCGCGCTTGTGCTGATGGCGGCCTGGCCTCCGAAATGCCACTTGCCGGGTGGGAGCCCGGCGCTGCCACTCGCTGCTATTACTTGTTTAGGAGCTTGTTAAATTTAGAAGTTAAATAGACTCTGGGAAATGGATGAGACACAGCGGGTGCAGGCGGACGGAGAAATTGTGTGGCTCTCACCCCATATGCACCTTTTAACGGCTGGGGTTGTTATTCCGCTCTTGCGAATCGCCGGTGTCGCTTGGAACATGAGGGCTCCAGACGTGCCGCAGGCGGCGCCGCCTGCTCCTTCCCCCCCAAAACGAAGAATCGATAGTTGTGATCACTGGGATTTACACACCAAGAGGCTCTAAACATGTTGCCGAGCCCAGAAACCCGGGTGGAAAGCAGCGATGYTTGGGCTTTCCTTGAGGCGCTCATGGCAGAGCCGGGCTTGACAAGCAGGTCCCCAAGCCCGCAGGCGGCCCCGCAAGGACACGTGTCTGCCCGGAGCGAGGAAGAGCCTCGGGCCTCCCCGAGGGTGGATTTAACCAAAGCGCTCAGCATCTTCTGCACAAAAGCGCTAGGGAGTGGGGAAGGGGAAAAAAATATCTCTGAGTATTAAGCGCTAATAATTCCCTACTTTTATTTGCTGTTATCCACCTACATGAAAGAGGCTGGGGTTTTTTTGCTGACACGTTCTTGCTGGGATTTGACTGCTGCCTGAATCATCCGTCCAGGGCCATTTGCTCATAAAAGTGAAGGAACTGCTGTTTTGAATCTTATTGCTGCTGCTCGCGCGGCGCAGGCGGCAGCGGCCGGGGCGCTAGGGAAGCGCCCGTGTCGGAAGGAGCATCCGCGTGGGTGTCGCGGAGCGGGAAAGGCAGCCGCCTTTGGGAGCCAGGGGSGCTCCCGGCCGAGCTGCAAACTGCAGAGCAGCTCCCGGGCTTGGGAAACGGAGGGAGCCGCCAAGGGGCCGCCACGGAGGTTCCGCGTTCCCGCGTCCGGAGGCATCCTCGCTTTGGAGCTGCTGTTCCCCAGGCTGCTGTTTGCACAAGCGGTAACTGATTTGGAATGAATTGAGCCAATTACTGCCGTTTTCTTAAGGCAGATGACGCGAGTGCTCGGATGAGGAGCAGCCAGCCCGGCTGCCGTGTGGATGGGAGATGCTCGAGTGCCCTTTGGGCCCCGCTTTCCGTCTCCGGCTTGGTTTGCTGCTCTGGACCACACGTGGGTTTAGGCGGCAGCAGCGGCTGAGCACCCTCGAGCCCATGGTGGAGATGCTGGTGTCCCACTCTGGGTGTGGTTATTCATCACAAACCAGTGATACTGGAATGGTCCTTGCTCTTTGCAAGCAAGCAGGGCCTGAAACTGCCTATGGATTAACAGGAAAGTGAAAAGCAGTAACTCTTGAATGATTTTCTCCAAGGATGGGAGCTCAGAGGTGGGTCTGGAGATGCACCAGCTCCCCCGTCAGTGCTTGTGTATGCAGAAATGTGGGTTATCTAAGGCTACAAAAATGCGTTTCTGACGCCAAGCGCTGGTGGGCTAAATAAAAAAAATGGTGGTTCAATAAATACCCTGGTCTGGTCCACCTTTTCCAGACCAAATGTGCACCGCAAGGCTCACCAAAACTTTGAAGACCAAGTAATTGTCATTGGAAAGCTCGTCCTCGCAGCGCGAGGTGCTGCAGTGAAAAGAAGCCGTAATGAAGATGAATTAAAGCTCAACGGCGCGAGATGGAGCAGGGGCCTGGCGGAACGTGGCCCACGCGCTGCACGGGCAGCGCCACGGGCACGAGACGCAGCCTGCGGCGCCAGGCTGGCCGCGGCCCCCGGCCCCGAGCGGGCAATGCATCCCCGGGAGGCTTCGGGCAGCTCCCTAAATTTAATAACTGCGCCCGCCCTCTTCTCCTATTGTTTGCATGTAAATAAGCATTGGATCAATAAGGAACCTCTCTAAGAGCACCCTAGTTTGAGAAACGAGGCGAACGTGGCCTGGTGGGGGGCTCTGCACCTCCAGCCTGGGGCTTAAAGTGAGGCCAGAAAAAAAGGGGAAAAAAGGCAACTTCTGCACTGTGCTCCCTGCCACCCATTGCCAGCCCCCGTGAGGCTGCCCTCGATGAGGGTGAGGGGCTCTTCGCCCCCTTAGCAAACTCCACAAAGCCACGACGGGGCCCCAAGGGCAGTGTGCAATAGTGGGGACCAAAGAGGAGGGTCCCTTTCTTGATTTGTTTTCAGTCCTAGAGGTGGTTTCTCTTCCTGTGCCCTTATTCCAGGGCCAAAGCTGGGGGATTTCTCCTCGCTTTGGCTTTGGACCAAGAGGGGAGGAAGAAGAGCGTGCAAGAGGAGTGCATGGAAGGGGACAGCCACMGTGATAACCGCTTCCCTGGCACCGGGAATGGCTTTTCCCTGGMTTTTCCCGTAGCGCCGCTGAGCCCGGGGGCCGCGGGGAGGGGACGTGGGCGCTGCAGGGGACACTGAAACGCTAAAGGCCAAGAGCTAACGGTGGTGTGGGGAGCCCCCCGGGCACGGGGCCGGGAGGGACCCGCTCGTCCCGGCCCAGGGGACGCTGCCAACGCGGCCCAAGAGAAACAAACGCACGGATGCTCCTTTTTCTCTGTGCTGCTGGTGTTTATTTTTTTATTGTTTAAATCCCTACCTCACGACTGTAGAAGTCCTTGTGCTGACACGGTGTTATTTATTTATAAAATATGTACAGGAGAGCGCTCGGGAGCGGGGCCACCCTCCGAGGCTGGGCGGGAGCCAGTGCCTCTGCCTTGGGCTGGGGAGGAGGAAGAGGAGTGAAGGGCCGAGGAAGATAGAGACCTCAACATATGTGAGCAAATATTTACAGGGTCCAAGACAAAATATATATATATACATCTACAGTGTTGTCTTGGACAGGAGTCGGGCTAAAAGCAAAGCCTGCTCGCGGCTTCATCTGTTATATTGATTTATGAGGAGGATGGAATCGATCCGTGCCCGCGCGCAGCTCCAGCAGGACGCGGCTCCGGCGCTGGCACGGGGCACGGAGCCGGCGCCARCCGCCCGCTCCTGCTCGCATGTTTTCACATGGTTGGCTTTTTTGGATGTTTTTGCATGGTTAGTTTTTAGATGGGGGGGACGAAGGCTTTTGAGATGCTCCTCCGAGTCCTGGGGGAARGAGGATGTGAGCAGGGAGTGCATTGCAGGGGAGCGGGAAGGGAAACGCTCCCGCGTGGAGGGCAGCCCACCAGGGATGGGATCGGTGCGTGGGGAGTGAGTGTGTGAAACGAGTTTGTGTGTGCTTGTGTGTGCTCGAGGTCTTGGTCCCAGCACTCGGAGGGTCACCCCAGTCCGCACTGTCCATGGCCTATGCGGGTGACACTTGGCTGGAGGAGACGGAGGAGACTTCGGTCTTGCTCTGGGACACGGTGGAGGAGACATCTTCATCCCCAAAGGGGTTCTTGCCGCAGCAGATCGTGGTGATCATGCAGTTACGGAACTGGGGTGGGCAGAGAGAGAGAAAATAGTGGCACCGGGGATGGGGGGACATGGAAGGTTCCCCCTTTGGAACAGGCGGCCCAAGGAGGTTGTGGAAGCTCCTTCTCTGGAGATCTTCAAAACCCACCTGGATGCCACCCTGTGCCCTGTGCTCTGGGTGTCCCTGCTGGAGCAGGGGGGTTGGACTAGATGATCTCTAGAGGTCCCTTCCAACCTCAACCATTCTGTGATTCTGTGTAGGTGAGGCACTTGGGGACRTGGTTATTAGGCAACCCAAGGTGATGGGTTTACGGTTGTGTTTGATGATCTCAAAGGTCTTTTCCAACCCTAATGACTCTATGGTTCTATTATGTGGGCAATTGTGTGGGGCAGCCCCTCAGCAACACTGAAAGTGCCAAGGAGCAGAGGGTAGAAGGAGATCGTGCTGCTTGGGTCTCACCTGCTTGTTCATGAGGACGTAGATGATGGGGTTGTAGAGGGAGGAGCTCTTGGAGAAGAAGGCAGGCACTGACATGAACGTGGCGGTGAAGTCGGCTCCCTTGTTGGTGAAGATCCAGAACGCCACCACGGCGTACGGTGTCCAGGCCAGCATGAAGCCCAGCACCATGAGGATCACCATCCGTGTCACCTCCTTCTCTGCCTTCTGCGTGGTGGCCGACTCCTGCTGCTGGGCGGCTGCCTGTTGGAACGGGCCGTGATGTGGGGTGGGATCCACAGCTCCTGTCCCCAGCATCGTTGTGCCTTTCCCACCTTCCCTGTCCCCTCCGGTCCCCGCGCGCAGATGCTACCTCTCGGACTTTGCAAATGAGCCGCCCGTAGGAGAAGAAAATGATGACCACGGGGATGGTGAAGTGGATGATGAACATGTAGACAACATAGGACTCGTTGTGGTAGTCAGGGTTGTGGGTGTAGTAGTCAGGGCCGCAGGAGCACTGCATCCCCTCTGGAATGTATCTGCCAAGAGGAAAGGTTAGGACCCCCGCGAGGACCCTCCTCGGGGACACGGCGGCAGTGTAGAGTGGATGCTCTGAGCCAGGAGATGCCCCTGGAGCCGCACGCTCTTGGATGAGCTCTCGGATGAACATCACGGTGCTCGCCCCATCTCCCCCATGCCCTGCCCTGGGGATCCCCGGGCTCCGAGGGCCCTGCGGGCGGTGGCAGCTCCGTGCTGCCCGCGCCGGGCAGGCGGTGGGCGAGCGAGGCCGGCTGGCGCCCACGCCGTGCCTRGGCACGCGACCGGGCTGTGCTGCCGCACTCGCTGCCTCCCACGGCGAACGGGCTGTTTATTCCCCTGCTACGCGGCTGAGCAGTTGCCTGCYGGAGCCACCTGCTCCCTCCCGCTGCGGATGGAGGGACGGACGCATGGATGGACGCTGTGTGGGGACAGCAGCTGCTGGGGGCTGCTCCGAGCTCCGGGGTCTTCATCCCTGCTCCCATGTGGGGACAGGATGCAGAGCCCGTRTCCATGGGGTCTCGCACCGGAGGGATGGAGCTTGGGAGACCAGCTGGGGATCCACGTACGTGGCCGTGGGTTTTGCTGTGCTGCTGTGTGTTGTGTCACCAGCTGGTGACATGGGGACCTCGCTGCCTGAAAGCCACCTCCTGCGTGTGCCCCCACCTAATGCTCCCAGGCAGGGCATCCCTCGGGCCTGGAGGGATGATCCCCTCCGTGGCACTGGGAGCAGGGACGCGGGGAGGCTGGGCAGGATGGGCTAGAGGGAAAGGTGGCCGCATGGTGCGGAAGGAGCCAGGTTGGGGCTGCTGCAGTGAGCAGCACGTGAGCACGGCCACAGGTGTCCCCTGAAGCAGCTGTGTGYGCTGCATGCATCACCCTGATGCTGTTTAGGGTCTGTGGGGACACGTGGGCCCTTCACAACCCAAGGATGGGTTGAACGGTGTCTGCAGGAACATCTCTCTCTGCAGCGCCTTGGAGGATTATTGCAGCTGAAGATGCTGAGCTGGAGCTACCTTGGCTTGGGAGGACAYGGAGCCATTGCAACGCCAAGAGACCAGGTCTCCGGCCTCGCTCGAATGAAGCCTGGGATGCTTCATGGCAGGAGATGGGCTGTGTCCCCTCCATCCCATCGGGGCTGCCGTGGAGCAGCCTCCAACTCACCTGGACCAGCCGAAGAGCGGTGGGGCGGCGCAGGAGAAGCTCATGACCCAGGTGAACGCGATGCCCATCATGGCGTGGGTGGAGGAGAAGCGGAAGTTGCCCATGGGTTTGCAGACAACGATGTAGCGCTCGATGGCCAGGACGACCAGGGACCACAGGGCGACTTGGCCTGTGGGAGGGGAGCGGAAAAGAGCGTGTGACGGCGCTAAGGTGCCCTCAGGGCGTCATCCTGTCCTYGCGGTCACAGTGGGAGGACCAGCGGGTTGGGACGGGCAAGGGGTGACCAGAATCTCTGTGAAACAGGAGCAGCGGGAAGAATCTGCCCGATAAATAACGGAGAATCTCTTGGTCTAGGAGCTGAAGGGAGCATCTGCCCCGCGGGGCCTGGCCACCGGGGAGGAGCTGTTGGGATTTGTTAATCACGTAAAAATCAATGGGGCCAACRGCACCTGGTGCCGGGAGAGTTTCCAGCCAGGCTGCCAGATGCATCTGAACCTGTTGGTGCCTTTCAATGTGTTCCAGGAGCCTTGCTCCGCTGCCGGGGAGCCGGAGGAGGTGCGCGGGGGAGGCTGCGCGGGTGGGCAGGCGGGCCCGTTTATTTATAAGGGATAATTAAACTTCAGGGGATTGGGAGCGTTGAGTCGGTGCTGTAAGCCTGCTAATGCCCCCGACCGCGATAATCTGCTGATAACTACACCCTGTGCTCGGCTCCGCCGGAGACCCGCTGCTAGCGCACTGACGGCTTCCCATCAAACTTCCTTTTGCTGTGATCAGGAGCCTCCTTCTTCTTCACTGGATAAAAAGAAGGTTGGGGGTGGGGGGAAAGGAGGACTAAATCCCATTGCCCGAGAGCGCCTCTGCTTGCAGGCTCCRTCAGAAACGGAGCAGACCCGTAAGATGCTCTGCCACCTCCCCGATACCAACCCTTGGCTTGGGTCAAGCAGTTTGGCCTCGCTTGGGCCTGGCAGAATAGCTGGTGGTTTTTTTGTTGYTGTTTTGTTTTTCAGATGGGAATTATTGCAGGAAGCCGCCCTTGTATAAAGACAAAAAGAAAGGAAGTCGGGGCTGTGGCTCTGCCGCAGGGCGTCGCGGCTGTCAGCGGAGTCACGAGGAGCCCGCGTGGGCTAAGGGAGAAGCGGCGCTCGCGGCCGGGGGAGGAGAGAAGGGAGCGCGGCGGGAGGCCGAGGCCGATGCCGATGGGGCTGCAAAGGCTGCTGCTGCCCGGCCGCGCTCCGCCGGGCCCACGGCCACGCTCCGCTGGGCCCACGGCCACGCTCCGCCGGGCCCACGGCCGCGCTCCGCCGGGCCCACGGCCATGCTCTGCTGGGCCCACAGCCGCGCTCCGCCAGGCCCATGGCTGCACTCCGCCGGACCCACAGCCACGCTCCACCGGGCCCACGGCCACGCTCTGCCAGGCCCACGGCCACGCTCTGCTGGACCCATGGCTGCGCTCCGCCGGGCCCACGGCCACGCTCTGCCGGACCCACGGCCATGCTCTGCTGGGCCCACGGCCGCGCTCCTTGCCATCCCCGTCCCGGGGAGCCGGTGTGGGGGTCCCCCACCGTGGGACCACGAGACCCCGGCCATGCCCGGGGCTGCTCGGGCTGGATGAAGCCAAGTTAGACGTGCGGACCAGGATCGCTTCTTTGCTCACTTTACAGCCATCCTACCAGTCGCAAGACCAAACTTGGAAGAAATCTTCCTTTTTTCCCCCTCTTTTACCCTCYCCTTTAAGCCCAAGAGAAGCCTTGCCCATGGCCCTGACCCTGCACAGTGACCCACAGCTTCACCTTGCTTCCTGCAGCCTGCAAGAGGCCAACTGCAGCCTTCCCTTGGGGATGGAAGCCACCAGCCATCCCATCCGCACAGGGAAAGCACGGAATCGGGCTCCCGTGGGAACAGCCCCACGCAGAACCCGGCGTCGCGCGCTCCCGTCCCGCCACGCTCACCTCCGAGCGTGGCGAAGAAGCCCTCGATGGCGCAGCCGATGGGGCCGAAGATGAAGTAGCCGTTCCAGGCCGTGTAGAAGGTGACGGTGAAGCCGCAGCAGGCCATGAAGAGGTCGGCCACCGCCAGGTTGACGAGGATGTAGTTGAGCGGCTGCCGCAGCTTCTTGTGCTTGAAGGTGACGAGCAGGGTGAGGAGGTTGATGGGCAGCCCGGTGGAGATGAGGAAGAACATGTAGCAGCAGACCACGCGGTATTGCCAGGGCTCGGCTAGGTAGTACTGGGGGTACTCGAAGGGGCTCCGCACCACCCCTGTCTTGTTGGACATAGGCACGTAAAAATTGATACCTTCCGTCCCGTTCATCCTGCCAATACTTTGGCAGCCGCTATTTTATTTAGCAAATGCTCTGCTGTTTTTTCTTTTTTTTTGATTAATTTTGTTTCAACCCCAATTTATTGAAAAATTGCTTCCCCAGACTCAAAAAATAGTCAATTAAAAAAAAAAAAAAATCCCTCCCCCCACCGCAGGTCCCAAACGCGAGCAAATTGACGGTAACTCCCGCGGGCAAGGGGTGGTGCGCGGTCCCTGCTCCGTGTCGGGGGCTGCTGGTGCCCACCTGCCGAGGGAGGTTTTATACCCTCCGGCCTCGCCGAGGGAGCGCGGGGGGAGGCCGGATTAGGGGCCAGGCTAACTTTGGATGACAAGGGCAACGGGATTGAGAGGGGCTGAGGGTTTAAGCACCCTCTAAGCAGCCAGTTGGCCCCAAAACCTGCATTAAAGCGTATTAATTGCCATTAAGTGTTTAATATTGTTTAGGGTGGGAGGGAGGAAGACGCTGGATGGGGAGCACCTTGGAAGAGGGGTGAAGGCAGGAGGTGAGTCAGAGAGCGGCTGCTTGGGCCAAATGATGGGGCAAACGGGTCCAGGCCTGAGTCCCCAGCGTGTCTGCAGCCTCTGGTGCATCCCCAGGAGGCTGGAGGACCTGGTGGGGATCCTTGGGGCCGGCTGTGATGCCCGGCTCTGTCGTGCTGACCTTGGGCTGGTCATTGCAGAGAGAGGACCGAGGGCTGAGGACAGGGTCCTGGGGGCTGCTTRGTTGCTCTGTGGTTGAAACACCTGCACCTGGGTTGGAGCTTTGCAAGGATYGGCAGCTTTTAGGGGAGATTCCTTGGCTACAACTCTAAAAACAGCTTGACAAATTGCTCCTTTTTTTGGCAATTGCTTTGCTCAAGAAGCAGAGCCTCAGCGCCCTGGGAGGGAAGGGTCACCTAAGTGGTGCTGCCTGTCCMAAATCCCCTCCAGAGGCAGCGCAGGAGGAACCAGCACCCGCCTGTGGCCACACTGGGAGAGCCAGTGGAAGAAGGTTCCCTCCGCCTCTTGGTGCTCAGTTTGGCTTGAGGGAATCTCCATCCCAAACCACACAGGGCCATAAAATCCTTCTCACCAGGGTCAGTACTAGCCTGGAGTGCCAATGCTCCATCCCATTCATGTTCTTTCCCCAATTCTTCCTTCTGGGTCATGGGTGCTCCTTCTCCAGGAGACCTGCCTAAGGCRTCTTAGCAAAGCTCTTCCATTAATCTCTGACATGTGGTGGCGTTAATGGCCCTGATCTGTTAAGGCGACGTAAGCTGTTAGCCTCTTTCCCACAGCAGCCCTTGGCCAAGGCAAGATGGATGGAAAAAGTCAACAGCGTCTTGATGGAAGGACAAGGTCTCCTGCAGAACTGGAGTGCCTGAGAGCTAGAGGGCAGGAGCAGAAGCCAAGGGGCATGGGGTTGGATGAAAGACAACTTAATCGCTTGTCCACTGACAAGCATGGGTCCAAGAGAAGCAGAACTAGGACATGGCATGAGTAAGTGGGTCACAGCAGCCTCAGGTGCCCCCAGATAAGGGCTYCTTGTGGGATGGCCATGCTACTTGGCAGCTCTTGCTGCATGTTTTGTGAAATTATCGCTCTCGCAAAATCCCCGGTCACAAAATCCCCGATGTGGGTCTTTGCTAGGCTCTCCACAAGCTCTTCCWTGGGGAAAAGCTCTGTGTGGAGAGATCCCACAGCCTTACTTCTCAAAAAGCTTTGCCTGGAGGTATTTCTTGCCTCTCTTGATCACATTTAGACTTCTGAATGTAAAAAACTTAGACATGTTTTTACAGAATTAGTTTGGTACAGAGGAAAAAACAGAAAAGATAATGCACGTAAACAGCCAAGTCCAGGATATCATTCCCAGCTGCCATGGTACAGAGTAGCTCTGCTCTTCTACAACACTTCACCATAGTGGTCCAGCTTCAAAGATCTGGACCTTGTTGACGGTTCCAGTGGCACAAGAAAGCTCGTGTTTCACCAAAGTTTTGTCTGTGAATGTGATGAGCTCATGAGAAACTTCCAGCTTTCTGCCATGTTGTTGCGGTGTTCCACCTTTCCCTGAAGAGCTGCATGAATGAAGCAGGAGGAGTTAAAGTTGGTTTCAATGGGCAAGGATCAGCAGTATTTTCTGTACAGAGGATTTCTCCTTGGCCAAGGCAAACCCTCTCCTCTCCCTGTTCCAGCCAAGGCTTGGTGCAACCTTGGCTTCATGCTTGGTGCTTGGAAGCCTTTAACACGGAGACCTGCTAATATCCGAAGCAGGAGGACATTCACTCAGCCGTGGAGCAGCATCCAGGACATTTCCCCTTGTCGGGAGCTGTGTATGAAAGCAGGTAGGTGCAAGTTGCCTTGTCCTTCCAACCAGGATGAGCAYGGGCTGTCCCTGCCTGTCCTCATGGCCTCAACTTTCTCCACTGGCCAGGGAAGGCTGGCGCTTCAGTAGGTGCCCTGAGCTTGGTGTTGATGTGGATTTAGAGTTCCCGGCAGGTCAGCAGCAGCCGGAGCAATGCTAAAGGCCTCAAATCAACTCGGAAGAAGAAAATGATACCAGAGAGGATAGCTGGATCCTCCRGGACATGTCCTGAATGCAACCTCGGTTCCCCCGGTGTCTATCGCAGAAATGGAAAGTGGTGGCTTTAATGTGGTATCTCTAAGCAAGGAAACTCCGGCTGTTTCCTGGAGAGCTCTCAGCTGATCCTGTACTGACTCTAGGACAAAGAAGGCAATAGCAAAATCTAGGCTCTATTGAAAGACAGAGGGAACAATCCCTTCTGTCCTTAAGGAAAGGAAAGGTTTCCTTCCCCCTTGTGGGATTTTCTGCCTTGTTAAGCTCTTTGAGATGGGATTCTCTCTCATTCATTGTTTGTCAGCACGTTGCATGATAGAGCCCTGAGCTCATCTGGGCTTTCATGTCCTGTGTAAAGCAAGAAATGATAATGATAATCAAATAAGCAAGTGGTGGCAGCTGGCACCAAGATGACAGAGCATTCATTGGGCTTGTGCAGAGCGGACCATGCAGGAGCGCAATCAGAACTCTTGGTGCAACACACAGGGACACGTTGCAAGAGCCTTTCCTGAACAACCCCAGACAAGTCCTTCTCCTTCATCCAGGTCCCCTCAGCCCCCCAAAACCTYGTGGTGCTGTGGGCTCATCTCAGCGCAGACACTGAAATTCAGATGTGAAGACCCAAGATGAGCTCTGGATGAGTCTGGCACCTTCCTATCTGTGCCCAAAGCACGGGAGGTGCCAGACTGCCAGACCCAAGCCCTGTGCTGGACACCGGAGCCAGCGCTGCGTGCGGACCAGGGCAGAGTTTGCTCTTCTGCCTCTGGCTGGCTCTGCGTTAGCCTGGATCTCCCCTCTGGAGAGGCTCGAATCTTCCTCACGGGCAGGAAGGAAAAGCGGGAAGTGGGAGCACCCCACAGACCCGTGCCTCCTCCCGGTGCCCGGGCTGCCCCGGGAAGACCCCACTTCCCGMTATCGGAGAGCAGCGCCGCCGGCTGCTGCGCTGAGCCGCTTAGGGCGGCCTTGCGAGCTCGCTCGCCAGGAAAGGGGTTAAAGCAAGCTAAAGCCGGAGCCTCGCGGAGACCATATGGAGGGGAAGAAAACCCTTTATCCCGTAATTGGATTCGTTCCCAGCAGCTCCCGGCGGAGGTGAGGCTGAGTGGAACTGACAGGTCGTGATGGGCGAGGCGCTGCCGGCCGCCCGGCCAAAGCAGGATGTGTGTGCACAAACTTGTAGATCAATCCATTAGAGTGGATCAAACAGATTTAAACGTGTGGCAGGGGGAAGGAGGACGCGGATGTATTTGCAGCTCGGCCGGCGGGCCGTTCCTCCTCCTGCGGGGTTACCGGGGCCGAGGAGGCGGCCGGGGCTCTCTGCCGGCACCGCTGCCCGTGGGGGCTCCCAGCTTGCGCGGCTGCATCCGTGCAGGACAGGGGGCTGGGGCTGCAGCGAGAGGCTCTTCATGCTGTTCCCATTGGAAAAAGGAGCACACACAAGCCYGGCTCCTGCAGGGAGCTCCCTGCTCTGAGCCCTCAACCCTTGCAGCACCTGCAGCTTCGGCCGGGGAGGCACCAGCTCCTGCTTTCCTAGCAGCGTCCCCTCTGCGCCTCCTCTTCCAGGCTCTGCCCACCAGCAAAGCCTTGCAGGGGAGGCTGCACCAGCCCGCGAGGCACTYGGGAGGTGGGGAGAGCGCTGCAATGGGCTGGTGCACGCAGCGAGCAGGGCCACGCAGGCTTTTCCTCCTCCCGCTGAGCCACAGACCCCCATCGGCACCGCAAAAAGTCAGTGGGACCTGGCACGTTGGTGCCAAGCAGCAGAGCAATGCCCGGCTCAGCCACCAGCCCCACTGGGGCCGGCAGTGCTTTCAACTCGGTGAGAAACAGGGGTATAGGATGTGGGTCGGTGAGCCAGGATCAGCCCAGCACGTCGGAGCGGCTTCCTTCTCCAAGGAAAAGAGTGGCCATCTCATTGACTCCGAAGGGAGAGGGGAGCACAGCTCAGCATCGCCCAGCAGCGCCTGCTGCGGGCCGGCGGCGAGGACGGCTGAGCACTCAGAAAAGGGGATTTAGGCAAATAGCAGTAATCCAGCTCTTTTATTTTTAATTCGTAAATCTCATTTGAAGTTGAACCCTCTTGCTCCTGCGGGCTTTATTTTGGCGGCTTGCAGCCCGCTGCAGCAATGCTTTACACATGCTGTTTCATTTTGTCATAACTGGGTCATTATTTTTATTTCCCCCCCCTGTTTCTAGCGCATAGCCCATGTTTTCTCTGTGGAAACCTGGTGACTGCTGTGACAGGTCCGGCTGCGTTTTTATGTTCTGGGAAAGAAGCGTTGAGGAAATTTGGGGTTTACTTGTTTGTTTACTGTTTTCCAGCATGGCTGGTGCCCAGATGGGCTGGCGCTGGGGCTCTTTGCTCCAGTGTCCCTTTGTGGACTGTGCATGGACACTTCGGTCTCCCAAATCCGGGCAAAGAGGCTGCCTGGTGGCACTCGGGATC